TGTGGGATGCAGAATCAAGATCGATGGTAATCATGAATGGTTTGCGAATTTATTGGAAGTCTGGGGTTTGGAATGGCCAGATTTTTAGCTTGATTCCTAAAATGAAGTTGGATAAGTTACATAATATCACCAATGTTTCTGACGGGCACATGACTTTTCTCACCTATGATCTCTATGATAAAAGTGTTATTTCTAGGGCTGTAATGGATATATGAGGCCAATTGAAACAATCATCGTGGCTAGAAAATTCAAAGCAATGGAAGAGCTTCTGGTGGCAACCAAGAGAACGATGCGAAGTTTATGCTTTTTGTGGGGCATTTGGGATCTGCAATGAGGAGTCTTTACCATTTTGTAATTGCTTACCTGGATTCGAACCACACTCTCAGGAGCAATGGAATAAAGCAGATTATTCTGGAGGGTGTACTAGGAGAACTGATTTGCAATGTGGCAATAACAACAATTCTCAGGGTCTAGGAGATGGATTTAAAATGCTTCCCAAAGTGAGACCGCCAGAGAGTCCAATGGCTGTAGCAGTTCAGGGCATTGATGCCTGCCGGTTATCTTGCTTAAATAACTGCTCATGTATTGCTTATTCTTATTTCGATAAGAATTGTACAATCTGGGGCAAGGATCTTAATTTAATAAATATGCAAAAACTGTCAGATACAGAGGCGAGTGGAATCGATTTTTATCTCAAACTTGCTGGTGTTGATTTGGTTACTGAAAGTAAGAGTCCTAAAAGAAGTCTCTTTTCACAGTTAGCTTATTGAGGTACATTTTGAAATATACTTTTCACAAACTATTTTATCACAGCAGATACAAATGCAGAACACAGAAGAACTAAGAGGACATTGTGGATTATTATAACGCCAACCATTTCTCTGACAATTCTTTCTTTATCCATGCTCATCTGTCGAGTGCAGAGGAACAAAAGCAGAAAAAGAGGTCTGAAATCTTTATGATTCTATTTGCAGTTGAGGAAGCGAGTTAGTTTTGTTATCTTTTAAAATCATTTTTTTTATTTGTGTTCTGCTGCATAATGTATTGTCAATTCTGAAACAACCTTTTTAGAGTTTCTCCGCTTGAAGTTGACCTTTAAATTCATCAACCTGCCAGCTTACTTTGGCGCTATAATCTCATTAAGTCCAACTATTTATTCTAATTCTGATTGCTATTTCCTACTCTTTGCCATGAGCAGGGGAGGACTTGTTATCATTTGACTTCAGCATTAGGCTGGGAGCCACTGAACATGATGAGACTGAACCAAAAAAGCCCAGGAAAGATAAGAAGGAAGTTGAGATTCCACTATTCAATTTTTCTAGTGTATCTGCTGCTACCAATAACTTTTCTTCCTCAAATAAACTTGGAGAGGGTGGATTTGGACCTGTATACATGGTAATATAGATACACCATAAATTTCAACTGAATGAATGATCATTGGTTATGTAAAACTTGCTAAATGTTCAATGGGTTATTGATTTGCATCTAGAATTTTACTCATGAGGGGAATGGGGAGTTGAAGATACAACTTCAGAGACTAGATTTATGCCTTTGAAGAGAAACTAAACAATTTGTTACATTGCAGGGAAAATTATCAAATGGACATAAGGTAGCTGTAAAAAGGCTTTCAAGAAGATCTGGTCAAGGATGGAATGAGTTAAAAAATGAGGCAATGCTTATTGTTAAACTTCAACACAAGAATCTTGTAAAACTTCTTGGTTGCTGCATTGAGGGAGATGAAAAGATACTTATCTATGAGTATTTGCCCAATAAAAGCCTGGATTATTTCCTCTTTGGTATTTAACTTTTCTACTCTTCAATTACATATGAAAACCTTTACTTCATTGTTATGTTCCATTTATAGTTAAACAGTTGCCTATAGTTTAAAATCTTATTGGTGTACTCTATTGTCTATTCCTCTAATTAAAATCAAAACAGGTTCAACCAAACATCCTGTACTTGATTGGAGAACTCGCGTTAGCATCATTGAAGGGATTGCTCAAGGTCTACTTTACCTCCACTGCTTCTCTAGGTTACAAATTATTCATAAGGATTTGAAAGCCAGCAATATTTTGTTGGATAAAGGAATGAATCCTAAAATTTCAGACTTTGGAATGGCAAGAATTTTTGCAGGAAATG